AAAGGCGCGAGGCGAGGTCATCGCACGCCACTTCAAGAAATAACACCTGTCTTTCCTTTATACTCACCCGTGCGTAGTCCCCGGATAGCTTGAAGTTTTCTGTTAGATAACCATGAAATGATCTTCGCCATAGCGACTGTAAAGCTATATAATCCTAGCAATCGGCTGCGATTTTGAACACAATAGGTGGTTTATCCGTTTTCAGAGTCAAGCAAGATGCTTTTATTACTTTTCGAACAAATCACCCTTCTGGTTTAAGCAGTAAGATGTGCGCTGAAAGGCATAGTGAAAACTTATCCATGCCCCGTTTCAGAGCCTATCAAGATCAGACCTGCTGCTGGGCTTGTATTCCATGTGATACGGCCACGAGTATCATCATCAATGTCACGAGGTTAGTGTTTTCCATATTCTATCAATAACTACCAATCTGACAACTTTTGTTTTCAGCTGCGACATGTGTCCCGAAGGAGAAGTGCCAGATTCCGACGCAAAGTTTCTGTGTGCCGATACCGCCTGTGTCCATGCAGTAAGCGTATTCCTAAGCTTTTAAATTGGCAGCTGTCCAAATAGCGACTATTGTAGATGGGACTCCACGTGGGCAATGGTTCCGGCAGGTTTCTCACTGCTCGGTTTGGCATCGACCACATTCGTCGTCGGCGTTTTCTTGAAGTTCTCCAACACTCCTGTGGTGAGTATGCGTATTGATCTTGCTACTGTAATCCCTGTTAATATCTTAACTGAGCCTTTAACGTGCACACTAAAGAAAAACTGTGCAAGGAAAAAGATGACCGCGCAGTCCTTTTGACTATTTGCCCTTGTTATCTAAGTGAAAGCACGACGAATCGATCGAATCACCAGTTGTAGGGTGATTTAAATGTTGCTGAAGATTAATAAAATTTGTTACTGAAGTAGAAGGAGTGCGGCCGACATCTAAGCGTTTAAGTATTCCTCTCGTTAGATCAGTTTTTACAGATCATGGCATCTGGACGTGAACTGTGCTACTGCATGATCAGCGGTATATCGATGTGCTATATCCTAACGTTCTTCCTTGTTTCACAGCCTTCAATACCGACATGTGCTCTCACGAGGGTAAGCTCAATCACAAGAAACTGTCTTATATTTCAATACAGTTCCTGTTCAGACATTTGAGGCGGGGTATTCTTTTCCCAACACGCGTATGTCAGCCGTGATCACTAGAGACAACATACAAAGTTTCATGCACAAAGATTCAGTTTCCGAAAGAGAAACAAACTTACAAAAACCACACTATGGACAATCGAAGGTAATTCGGGCGGAGCCAAAGGCGGGGCATGGAAAGAAGTCCGCCTTGGGGCGGCTACGTATCAGGCGACGCAATGAAAGAATCGGGTTAAAGCGTGCGATTTTGGAGAGTAGAGACAAATCGATCGATAGAATAGGATGCAGTAGAAGTGTGAGATGTGAATGCAATAAGTCAAAAGGCCAGAAAGAGTTTCTAGTGACGGCACTCCAAGAACCAAGTGGAAGCATTCCCGTCGCCAGCATTTGTGACAGATGTCCGGTGGGCACTTTGAACGCGTAGCAGCCCTTTCGTTTTTCCGAATTTTTTACCGAACAAATACAATTTTTTGTTCTTTTCGTTCTATCATAGACGATATGTCCCAAGGCAGAAAAAGGGTCACAGTTTTTCCGAGAAGGACTCCTTCGAGGTACATAAAATCTGTGAACCAACATTTATTATCGATTTGATAGCATACCATCACGGCAAAACTACTGTTCGAAGCCGATCCACCACTATGAAAGATACTTAGCCAAATTGTTTGAAAGTCGTCATCTGCATCAGGATGGCTAAATTTTTGAAAATGTGCCATGCACATTTTTGCTAGGAGTCGTAGATACATTGGAATGTCTTCACAAGCAATTGTCAACTACAACCATTGTTGGGGTACTGTATAAAACCCAAACAAGTCTTTTAATACTAACAAAATCATACGACTAACTGGTGCCAGTGGTGCAGTTTTCTAGCGCTTGCGGAGTTTGTATTGGGGCACATTTCCATTACCACAATGTGAAGTTTTGGCCAGAAATTCACCAAAATGGGGGAAAGCTACTCGAATATATGGCTGAATGTAGATTTTTGAACTACAGTATTGATCTTATGGCGTAAATTTATGAGGAAATGATGTCGTTTGCATGTAGAAGGTTGCAGTCTCGAGAAAGTACAGTTCTGGTGTTCCTGAGAGACTCCATTTTAGGTTCTTATGGGTCTGTCGATGTCAGCTATCTATGCGGCCATCATCACGAAGACGAATCGGCTTGCACGAGTCTTCAAGCCGGACAGTGCCCAACGACCACGGTTCATCACACCAAGAGCACAAGTTAGTCGAATCTTGTCTTTGAATATGTCTGCAGAAGTCATTTTGTGAAGTCACGAAGCTTTCACGGGGGGGGGGGGTGGGAAACCCTGGTTGTTATCAACACTATACATATACCATGCAGCGATAAGAGGCAAGGAACATACACCAATACTGCTGCTGGTAATGGTAGTACATATTCCATGGTACGGCTCTAGAAATGTCTTCAACCCAAGTAATGTGGACGTTTCAATACTTAATACTGGGCGCATTTGTTGAGGGCTGAAAGGGGACGAGTGATAAGCCAAGCCTGATTCCGCAAACCCGCCATCGTCGACCAGAAGGGATACCCGACAGGAGGCCCGTCGGGCAAGAAGGCAGAGTCAGCGGACGAGTTAGCGCGTACTGTAGTGATTTCGCGTCAAGTTAAATAGAATGTACCATTGTACGTCCTACATCGCACATCACGCGCTGCGACTCGTCCGCGACTCTGCCTTCTTGCCGCGCGACGGGCCTCCTGTCGGGTACCCGTGTAGAAGTGGAGCACGCTCACTTC